CAGGGGACATATGCGCTGCTAAGAGTTGATGTAAGAGACACCATTATATAATAAAATATATATTATTATATAATTATTATTAATTTAATTAATTAATTAAATTAATTAATTAATTAATTAATTAACTAATTAATTAATTAACTTACCTATTTTTATGTTAGTATCCTTTTTGCTGTTAGTTATAAAGTTTATTTCTTTTTATTATTTCTTTTTTTTTATTTAGTAGTACTATTTGTTATCGATCCCACACGATCCCACACGATCCCACATACGATCCCAGACACGATCCCACACGATCCCACACGATCCCACACAAGATCCCGCACACGATCCCACACGATCCCACACACGATCCCACACACGATCTCACACACGATCCCACACGATCCCAGACGATCCCCTTATAGGTGGTGTGCATGGCAAGGCTCTCTTGTCTTTTGTGTCTGCTTATTGCCACTTTTCTTCCTTGTACACGTAAAAAAAACAACAAAAAGAATAAATAAATGTTAATAAAAGATAAAATAATAATTAAATTGTTAGATAAAAGATAAAAAACAAAAAAATAAATATAGAGATGCAACATGAGTATGTATTCGCCATAGCTCACCATACACTAGGGGGGCCCCCCAGACACTGGGGGGCCCCCTGGGGGCCCCCAGACTGTCGTCAGTATCCTTAGGTACCTAAAGAGTTAAAAAAAGGGTATTTAATTAAAATAAATCGATTAATAATTGTTTATTTATTTATAATTTATAGTGTGGGGCCCCCTGTGCAAAGGGGGGCTCCTATTAGGGGTTTATTTATACGTATAACACCCTCCCTCTCCCCCCTCCCCCTTTTCTGTGTTATTGGGGTGTATATATACACCTCAATTTGCTGCGCGCTGCTGCTGCTGCTGCTGCTGCAGCTGCAGCAGCAACAGCTGCTGCTGCTTAATTAAAATGTTGCAAGAAATATTTATGGCACTAGCGGGGTACCCTGGGGAAATATTTGTACGTCATGAAGAATCTCCTAGTAACAACAATAAAGAGCAGCAGCAGCAGCAGCAGCAGCAGCAGCAAGCCAGCAGCAGCAGCAGCAGCTACACATACAACTACAGCAGCAGCAGCAGCAGCAGCAGCAGCAGCGTATTATTAGGGACAGGAGGATTTAGGGTAAATCCTCTTCTTAATTGTTTTAGTAATAGCGAGAAGGAGACACTAGAGACAGTTGTGTCTCCTGGTTATGATTTATTAATTATAAAAGAATTTATTGCTGCTGCTGCTGCAGCAGAAGCAAATGCTTTGCTGCTGCCATGCATGCATGCAAGACCATCTGCTGCAGCAGAAGCAGCAGCAGCAGCAGCTGCTGCTGCAGCAGCTGCTGTTGGAGGCGCTCCCTCACTCCCTATAGGAGGAAAGGAAACAGCAACAACAGCAGCAGCAACAACAGCAGCAACAGCAGCAGCAGCAGCAGCAGGAGGTGGAGGTCTATACACTGCAGCACTAGCACGAGCATCAAGGGAGATAATAGATTCTTATTTATCTGTATTAGCAGCAGCAGAAGAAGAAGTGCTGCAGCAGCAAGGGGCCCCTCTTGCTGCTGTCTCCTTAGCTCTTAAGGACGAACCACATAAGCTAAGAATCCTTAGATCTATACTCTCTCAGGTAAACCCTAAACCCTAAACCCTAAACCCTAATCCCTGATAGGAAAGGAGGAGCCGATGCTTGCATGCATGCATGCATGCATGCATGCATGCATGTCTGCATACCTTCATAATACCTCTTTCTATTCCTTACAATATATTGTTTCTTATACTAGGGTTTAGGGTTTAGGGTTTAGGGTTTGCATGCAGGCATGCTCAATGTCTCTTGCTGCTGCTGCCATGGGGGCCCCCCTACCCTGTGGTGTATTACTAGATGTCTTATGGAGGGGACGTCATAGTGGTGATCCTGTTGCTCGTGGGGTGTATGCGCACCTTGTTGATGCATGCGCAGCTGTATTCTCCTTCCAGGCAAGCAAACAGCAGCAGCAACAGCAGCGACAGCAGCGACAGCAGCAGCAGCAAGTGCTGCTGCTGCTGCATTGGGTCCGCCTTTTACCCTCCGCTTCTCGCTAATGTTGCATTCCTCGACACAAATGCTAAAACTATGACTCTTGTCTCTGCTGTTGCTGCTGCTGATGTTGCTGCTGCTGCTGTTGTTGCCGCTATTGTTGCTGCTGCTGTTGCTGCTGCTGTTGCTGCTGCTGTTGCTGCTGCTGTTGCTGCTGCAGCTGTCAGCTTGGCTGCTGTCCGGGCAATTGTTCGATCCTTACGGGGAGTTCTTCATTCGTCGTCGGTCTGTTAGTACCATGTGGGGGGCCCCCCAGTGCCCCTTTCGTTGTGGGCCCCCCCATAGGGGCCCTCAACAGGGGCCCCGAGAGGGGCCCCAAGTGTGTGGGGCCCCCCTTGGGGACGGCACAGCTTGGGGGGCTCCCCTTGCTGCAGAAGACCTAAGAGGGGGTCTAAGTGTAGAGGCCCTTAGCTTTGAATGGTCTCGATTGTTTCAGGTGTCTGTTAAGGGGGCCCCCCTGTGTTGTTTTGCTTCTGGGGGGGCCCCCGCTGCAGCAGATACAGCAGCAGCTGCAGCAGCAGCAGCAGCAGCAGCAGCAGGGGTGGTGCTATTTATTGGGAGGGCTACTCGTGTATTGTCTAGAGGAGGGAAATGGGGAGACAAAGAGAGACAGAAGCTGCAGCCAATAGCTAATAAACTTGTAAGGAGACACTTAATAAAAGGAGACACTTAATAAAGGAGACAGAAGAGCACAGACACGCATCTTAGGGCTTAGGGTTTAGGGTTTAGGGTTTAGGGGGTTTGATGCTATTTACAGAGGACGGCCTTTTCTCATCCTTCTTCTCCTGCTGCGGTCATCCTTCCTTGTCTAAAGATCTTACGTGCCATTGTAACCCTAAACCCTAAACCCTAAACCCTAAACCCTAAACCCTAGAGTTGGCGAATAGAGCCACATATAAGACCATGGTTTGTTTATTTTTTATTTTTTATCTTTTTTTTGTTTGTTTGTCTCTTTTATTTCTTTTCCTTTTTGTTTTGTTTATGTGTCTCCTTTTTGTTTTTCTCTCTTCTTTTTCCTTCCCTTTCTTGTTTGTGTCTCCTAGTGTCTCCGTTTGTCTCTTTGTGTCTCCTTATGACTGCATGTGTCTCCTTTTGTCTCCGCTACTCTCGTGGTGTCTCTAAATATCTCCAGCTGTCTCCTTTTATCCCTAAGTGTCTTTATACCTGCTGCTGCTGCTGCTGCTGCTGCTGCTGCTGTCTCCTTTATTGTCTCCTTAGGTGTCCGGGTTACTGTGGACAGCATTAGCAGAAGGAGGATTTTTATTTAATTGTCTCTCTGCCCTAAGAGACTCTTATCTATTAGGAGATGGTTAGTTGTCTCCCTTCCCTTTTTTGTCTCCTTGTCTTCCTTTATCTCTTTTTTCCTCCCTGTCTCTTTTTGTCTCTTTTTGTACCCTTGTCCCTTTTTGTCTCCGTGTCCCTTTTTGTCCCCTTCTGTTTCCTTCACACTACACTATCTACTTCCTTCACCCTACACCATTTAGGGTTTAGGGTTTAGGGTTTGAGTGGCTTTGCTGCAGGCCTCTTCTTTACTGTCTTCCTCGAGAGCAGCCGCCGCTTCTTAGGGGGCCCCTCTGATGACCGTTGGGGGCCCCCAGGGGGCCCCTTGTCCCTTCGCGTTAGGGGCCTTTGGGCAGGTGCAGCAGCTCAGACCAATCCGAAGTTCGCTGCACCAGCAGCAGCAGCGACGGCAGCAGCAGCAGCAGGAAGAGGGGCCCCTGAGTCTTCTCAGAAGCAGCAGCAGTCTGCCACCCAAGGTGAGGGCCCCAGCAACCCCACAAAAGGGAGCCCTGCATGCCCTAGCGGGGGCCCCCTAATAGGATGCAGACCCCAGGGGCCCTAAAGCACCCCATACAAACCCTTATATATTCATTTGTGTATCCTTTCTCCTTCTTATATTTTAGATTTGTGTCTCCTTTTCTTACAGAATTACTTTTGTGTCTCCTTTGTCTGTCATATATAGTTGCATATGTGTCTCCTTTGTCTCCTCAGGCATTAGTAATGAATTACAAACCCTAGGGGGCCATCAAGGTGTCTCCCTGACCTCCCCTTGTGCTGCAGCAGCGTATGGGGGGAGGGTAGTAGGTAGTACCCAAGGGGGGCCCCTATGGGGGCCCCTTGGGGGCCCCCCTCAAGGAGACGGGAAGACAGCCTTGGTAGATCCATCTTTGCAGTGTTTAGGGTTTTCCTTAAGAGCAGCAACTGCTGCTGCTAGGCAAACCCTCAGCCTAATAAAAGAAAAAATACTACAAGAATCCGATCTTGTCTTTAGAGGAACAGCAAGGTACTCTGCTGCTGCTGCTGCTGCTGCTGCTGCTGTTGCTGTTGCTGGTGTGTTGCTCCTGTGGCTGTGAGAAGCGTTTGCATATGAGGGTCTGGGGTTTGCGTCTAGGGTTTAGAATTTAGGGTTTAGGGGTTTAGGGTTTATGATTCAAGGGTTTAGGGGTTGTCCTCAGGCTAGATAATGGGGAGATTCTCTTTTGCCGTTGCCCACACTCTGGGGGCCCCCGTGGGGGCCCCTCAGCAAGAGGGGACTGTCCCCTTGGAGCTGTGCTGCACCCTGAACGTCAGCTAATGAGGCATGGATTTAAGGTATGTATTTATCTCCTCTTTCTCTGCTTGCTTCTTGTTGTTTGTCTTTATTGCTTATTTATTGATTTATTGATTGATTGATCGATTTATTTATTTATTTGTTTATTTATTTATTTATTTATTTGTTTTTTAATTATGCTTACTTGTCTGTTTCCTTGCCATAAAACAAAATAGGTGCTACCCGTCATGGTAAAGGGGCCCCCTTGTCTGCTGCGCTTGTGCAGCACGGCTTTAAGTTCCGGCTGGAGGCCCCGAGGGGGGCCCCCTTAGAGGCCTCCGAAGGAGTTGGTGCTTGCGTAGTACTGGTACTGCAAAGCAACAGGGCCCCTGTCTCATTAAGAGATGGACCCCATGTAGTGTCTACCTCCGATGCCCATAATTCTCCTCAGGGTCAAGGGGGCCCTAGTGACCTCTTTTGGCCGTCCCTCGGTAAACCCTAAACCCTAATGGCTAAACCCTAATTGCTAAACCGTTCCTTATCCTGTAATACGACTGTCCATCTATACTTCGTCGGCACGCCTTTCGGTTCGGAAGTTAAAGCTTAACGTTTAATATCTCCGGTTTAGGGGCTAGAGTTTAGGGTTTAGGGTTTAGGGTTTAGGGTTTGGTGTGCAGGGGACTGCGTGGCTTTGGAGATTCGCCTTGGGATTATTCAAAACCCTCAGGAGGGATCCGGTCCCACTCTGACACTCGAAGCAGATCTTCTGCTAGGTGCTGCTCTTATTGCTGCTGCTGCTGCACCTGCTGCTGCTTCATGTGCTGCTGCTGCGTCTCCTGCTGCTGCATCTGCGGCTGGTGGTGGTTCTGCTTAATGTGCTGCTGCTGCGCTTGCTGTGTCTGTACAGGTGAGGGGGCCCTTGCTTGTCAGTTTGAACAGGATGTGTTGCAGGCGGCAGAGGCCCCTACGGCGACTTCTGCTTCTCTTATCTTTTCCCAGCAACAACAACAGCAGCAGCAGCAGCAGGCGCTGCTGCGACTACCTGCGCATCCTTGGGCTTTGCCTGGGGAGCCTCCTAAACGCACTACGGTAGCTGGGGGGACTCTCTCTGCAGCAGCAGCAGCAGCAGCGCCTTGCTGCAACCTACCGCAGGCCCTTCTCCTGTGTCGGGGATGCATGTCTTGGCCTCTGCCTCCTAACTGCCGCCTAGAGTCTCAGGAGATATTCGTGGAGTATGCTCTTGCTGCTGCTGCTGCTGCTGCTGCAGTGCTTGCTGCAGCTCTTGTTGCTACTGCTTTTGCCGTTTCTGTTTTAGATGCAGGTGCTGCCCTTGATGCACCTCTTGTTAAACCTTGCCCGTCCGCCTTTGCCGTTGCTGCAGCTTATGCTCCTATTGATGCTGCTCGTCTTGCTGCTGCTCCTGTTGGCAAGGCAGGTGCCTGTGCTGTTGCTGTTGCCGATGCTAGCTTGTTTGTGTCTCTTTTGCTCCTTGGATTCTGCTGCAGAATCGACTACTCCTTAGAGAGGGAGCGCCTGCGGGTTATAGCAACAAAAGGGACACCACAGCAGCAGCAGCAGCAGCAGCAGAAGCTTCTGGGCTCCCTACGGGGTGCCGGTGGACCCACACCATTGTTGGAGATGAAGGGCTTTGAAGTGAGACAGGGACAACTGTGCTGATTCCGCTGCTGCTGCTCCTCCTCCTCTTCTGCTGTTCTTGCTGTTGCTGCTGTTGTTGTTGGTGCCTGCTGCAGCAGCTGCTGCTCCGTTTCTCCTGGGCTGTCGCTGACGCACTGTGTGAATCAGTCCACGTTTGCGCCTTCCCAAACCCTAAACTCTCTACACCAAACCCTAAAACCTAGAAAACCCCCGCAAAGTTTTCACAGTGTGGCGTAGCCTGTGGATGCTTGTTTGCAGCTCAGCAGCCTCATTGCCCTAAGGCTAGGAGCAGCCTATGCTGGGTGCGAACCTTCTGCTGCTGCTGCTGTCGTTGCTGCTGCTTTAGCTCGTGCCGACGCTCTTACTACTACGGCTACTACCGCAGTCGCAGCCACAGATTTTGCTGCTGCTGCTGCTGTCTTCCTTCCGTTGCTTGGGGGTTTTGATGTGATTCTTCCTTTTACTTGCCTCTTTCTTGCCTAGGGTTTAGGGTTTAGGGTTTAGGGTTTATTTTGTTTGCTTGCCTTTCAGGTTGTTCTCTCTCCCCCTGAGATATGAACACCGACAGCTGCAACGAGGAGGCACCTCCGCACCAGGTACCCTCTTTGCTGCTGCTGCAGGTGTTCCTCCTGTTTTTATTGCTCTCGCTGGTGTTGTGCTGTTGTTGCAGCTGCTGGAGCTGTCGCTGCTGCTGCTACTGTAGTGGTGTTGCTTCTGCTCCTCCTGTTGCTGCCGCAGGACCGCCTCTGCCGTCTACTCCACCAACGTTTGAAAACAATGACTGGTATGATTCAGAGGAGACTTTCTGTCGTCATGGTGCTGTTGCTGTTGTTGTTGCTGCTGCTATTGCTGCATCTGACTGTGCTGCTTGTGTTGCCTGCTGGTGGGGTTAACGCCTTTGCTTTTGCTACTGACGCTGCTGCTGCTTCCGTTTTCAGGTGTATTCGCGTTTGCGTATGGCAGCACGAGGCGCAGCCACCTCCGCTGCAGCTGCGGGGTTTGCAGCAGCAACAGCAGCAGCAGCAGCATTTGTCTTTGGAGGGGAGACCAGTAGAGACCTTCATGTCCAGATTACTCTTAGACCCCCAAGGAGCTTCTTGGCCTCTTCCTTTGCTGCTCACGGATGCAGCAGTAGATACTTACAACGCCCTCTTCTCTTTACTGCTGCAGCTGAGGTACCATAAACCCTAAACCCTTTCACGGAAGTGAATGGATGCTGCTGCTGTCTGTCGAGGAGAAGTAGGAGGTTGGCCAGCGCTGCAAATTCTATTGCTTCTGCTCCTCCTGTTGCTGCTGCGTTGCTGCTGCTTCAGGTCTCTTGAGGTCGATCTGCAACAGCTGTGGAGGCGGGGATGTTTTCTAAGAAAGTGGGTTATGGTTTTGCCGTTCTATTTTGTCTTGTGTTTGTTTCTGTCTAAATGCTGCCTCTGCTGCTGCTACTGCAGCAGCTGCTTGTTCTGTGTATCTTGTCCATTCTCCTTCACGTCTCTTCCTGCTACCTCTAGATTTGGATGTTGTTTTCATGCATCTCTCCTTTCCTGTTTTCTTCCCTTTAGGGCCTACGCATGTAGGTATTCCTCTGGCTTACGTTTCGCTGCAAGGCCCCCTCCCGGCCATGAGGTATCTCGGCAGCTTGTGGCCTCCCACCTGTGGGCTGCACGAGCGGAGTTGATTTTTTATCTTTCGTCAATTTCTTCATATTTCCAGTGCTACGCAATCACTGTAAGACACAATACATGCAAGCAAGCAAACGCCAGCACAAGGGGGGCCCGTGTTGGGCTCCCCCTAGGGGCCCCACATGGACGTAAGAGGTGTTACTTCCAAGGGCCTCCGTTCAGAACGTCCTCAAGGGGGGCCTCTGGGGCAACACGCCTGGTTGGGGTTTGCTGCTTTGAGTGCAGCCTGTCTTCACTGAGGTGGAGGAAGCGGCAAGGGGGCGGAGGGACTTTGAGGAGATTCGGCTTATCCATGACAACTGCCTCACACAGCTTGCCGCGTAAGCCCCAAGCCCTAAGCCCCAAACCCCAGTCCTAGCATTCTGTAGGCGTTCTAGGCGACAGGTTCTGACCGTAGCCGTGAAGGACGGGGCCTCAGGTTCTAAGAGAAGAATATAAGCTTAGGGTTTAGGGTTTAGAGTCCCTGGACAGGGCCTAGGGCGTAGTGTTTCGGATTAAGGGTTTGCTGCGGTGTCAGGAGGTGCTGGCTGCGGGTCTCGTCTTTGTTGCGGCCTTTGATGCATCTTATCATGGCGGGTCGGCGCCTATCGGAGTTGGGGTCCCTTGCAACAAGAACCTCAGGGGGGCCCTTGGAGGGCCCCTTGGGGGCCTCTGGGTCGGTAGGACCAGACGAGGCGTCAGGGGGAAGGCAGAAAAACGAAGAGGCAGCTGAAGTGGGTTGGGTGGCTCCCTGTGCATTGCCTAGAGTTTACGGTTTAGGGTTTAGGAGTTTCTGCGGGCGCATTCTTGGGACAATGTGCAGGGTTTCTGATCGCCAGTAGTCTTGAATTAGGTGTTTAAGGTTTGAGGGTTTAGTGTTTAGGGTTTGCTGCAGGTGATCCTTTTGGGTTCGCTTGGAGACGCTCAATATACGTTTTTGGCCGATGCAGTAGCCACTACTAGGTTAGAAAGGGCAATACACCTAACCCTAAACCCTAAAAGCAGGGCAGCCGCAGGAGATGCCGTGCCTGCTGCTGCCGCTGCTGCTGTTGCTGCGGTAGCAGGAGTTGTTCTTGCACATGCTTGCGGTGTATGCAAACCTTACATAGGAATTTGTGGAAAAGGCTCAACCCTCACGTCGTCGTTCGCTGTCTTAGTGTTTAATGCTGCTTCATCTTGTTGTTGCTGTTGCTCTCAGGAAGGAGATACGGGAGCACATATCTCAGGTGTACACGGAGATATGCGCTTTAAAGCAGGGGGCCCCTCATGCCCTCTTGGGGGCTCTAGCGTTGCCTTTGGACTTCAATGGCTTCCTCTCTCACCTCGTCTCAGGGAACCCCTATACCCCTAGGGGGGCCCTGTACAGAGGCCCCCCGACCCCCCGAAGCAGCAGCAAGGGACCCGCTGAAGGACAACAGCAGCAGACCCAGGAACCGTTTGTGACTGCCGAGGCTGCGGGGGCCCCCACAGCTGCTGCAGCAGCCATATTGGAGGCCCCTCACAGCATTGGTACAAGGTCGCGAGAGGGTACTCGACTGGGGGGGGCCCGGATGCCCTCATTTGGAGAGTTACAGTACCCTGAGAGGGGCTTTACAGAGGGGACCCCTGGAGATGATGAATCGATGTTGCATAGCTGTCGCTCGACAGACAGTGACAGGGAAGGGACCCCTTCCTGGTCTCATTTGCCACAGGGGGCCCCCTCATACCCGTCCCCTTGGTTCACGGAAGACGCCAACGAGGATGCCCACCGGTCCCAAGGGGCCTCCAGGGCCCTTAGGAGGCCCTCGCCACCCGCACGGGGTTCTCTATGGTACGAAGCTTCAGCGCATTTGCAGCAGGGGCCCGTCACAGGTGCCCGAACAAGGGAGTTTACTCCCCCTAGGGCGGCCCCTGGGGGGCCCGCCATGCAGCAGCCGTTGGACTACAGAGTGCTGGCGGAGGAGGCGCGAGAGGCGTTGGCTGCTGCAAGGAAGAAGAAGGAAGAGAGGCAGTTTGTGGGGGCGTCAGAGGTGTACTTAAATACGGGGGGAAGGGGCCCCTGAGCTGTCATGAGAGACGGCTTCGGTGAGGGTTTAGGGTTTTGGGTTATAAGGTGGATGGAAGTGTAACTAAAGGAGAGACAACTGAGTCTGTTGCCTTCTGTGTATAGTTTAGGGTTTTAGTGTCTCCCTTTCGTTCCTCCTCATGGGCGGAACAAAGAGGAGACAAGCAGAGGGGTGAGGGGTACTTTCTCGCTTTTCTCTGTTTGTCTTTTTCTGTCTTTTGTAAAACCATGTACTTGTTTGTTGTATCCGTTCTTCTAAACAGGACCATTTTGGTTTATTATTTAGATGTTAGGGTTTAGGGTTTGTAGGCAGCAGCAACAAGTCAACAACAAATAACAGGGAGACAGCCAGAGGGAAACAAATAAATATAATAAAGGGATGGGGCGGGTGGTAAGCAAAAGAAAGAAGAGGGGCAAAGAGAACAACAAAAATAGAGAGGGAAAGAGAGGGAGAAAAACGGAAGAAGAGAAGGCGCGGGGACGCGAGTGAGGAGACAGAAAAAAAGACGAGGGAGATGAGGCAGACAGTCAATTAAAAGGAAACCAAGAGACAACAAAACAAAAGGAAAGAACAGGAGACAGGCACAAAACAGGCGGATAGAAGCAGCAGCAAAGATGAGGAGAGAGGCTACTTTATAAGGAGACGAATCGTTTCCTAAGGGCAAGGGGAGATATTTGTACAGACAGACAGGTGACAGAAATGTAGGGGGTACAGGGAGGTAGACAGTAACAAAGAAATGACGGAGGGGAAAACGGGACGGACGAACCCTTAAAGACACTACACAGCCTACAAGCACCGACGACAGAGACTTCTAACACTTAGCAGCTCCAAACACTAAACCCTAAACCCTATGAAATAAGCAAACGGTACATATAGCGCTGTACTCGCCGGGGGATGCGCAGCTATGGCCACACGTGTTCAGGATCTGGGGTTTATTGTTTTAGCCCAGCAGAGAAGCAGCGGTGACGACTTAGGGTTTAGGGTGTAGAGCCGTCATTTAAGATTGGGGGTTTATTAACTGTAGGAGACAGTTAGGATTTAGGGCTTATATTTCCTGTTGAGGGAAGGAAGCACCCATAGAAAAGTAATGGAGTTAGGGTTTAGGGTTTAGGTCCAGGGGTTTGGTCCGCCTGTTGTCGTCAGCGGTCTACTGGAGGAGGGCGCCGTCCGTCAACAGATAAACAACCCGCTGTCGTAAACAATTAAAGTTCAGCGTTTATGTTTTGATGCTTATTTTTAGGCTTTATTGTTAAAGCAATCGTTCACACTAGGATCACGGCCCCGTTTGGGGCTTCGCGAGCACCGGCTCCCCCAGCAGCAGCAACAACAAAACAGCAGCAGCAGCAGCAGCACAATAACATTGTTTTATGAATAGTTTTCCTCAACTCAGAGCAAAATAGACTTCTGAAGGCAGCTTCCTACAACCCGAGGCCTAGACACCGAGCCGCAAACCCTTAACCTAAAGACCAGGGTATCGTCTCGTAGCAAACTAGGCAGTATTTCCGTTCCTCTAACAACCGCTGCTGCTGCTGCGGCTTAAAAGTCCTGCTAGGAACAGTTGGGTGTTGCCTCTGTTGCAGCAGCAGTGGCATCAGCTGGACCGACAACAGGAGCAACAGCAACAGCGGCAGCAGAGGCTGCTGCCGTTGCTGCTCCCGCTCCTGCATCATCCTATGCAGCACAAACAGCTGACTGGGCCACTACTGAAGCAGCAGGTGCAACCCTTGTCAGCTGCAGAGAACAGCAGCAACAGGAGCTGCAGATGCGGCGCCCAGTAGCGCGAGCAACAACAGCATTCTCCTTAGGGGCGACAGCAGCGGCAGCAGGTGTGGCCGGGCAGGTGGAGGCCTTGATGGCACTTTTCGGATTTCCGGTTTCTACCTGAAGCGACGCCAGCTGCAAGCGCAGCAGCATCATCATCGTCATTAGCAGCTAGGCAGCAACGGTGTTTGTTGCAGTAGAAAGGCAGGGACCATTTTTTGCTATTTAAGAGCCAAGTGTCCCCTACTCCCCTACTGGAAGCATAGCAGCAGAGACAGCAGCAGCAGAATCCGGAGTAAAGGCATCAGCAGTGGCAGAAGCAGCAGCAGCACCCCTTTTTGGTGTCTGATTTGCAGCAGCAATGGGTGGAGATCTGTTGGGTGACGGGCAGCAGGTGCAGCAGGCGATTAGTTGGAATCAGTTTTCTTTGCTGTGCACAACGGTGTTATTTGTGTTACAGCAGGTGGGGTTGTTTTACTTTATAGCGCAGTATTCTTTGTCGTGGTTGTTTCTCTGCGCAGCGGATGTGGTGCTGCTGCTGCTGCTGCTGCAGAGCCACAGCAGCGACTACGCAGCAACAGAGGGAGGCACGTGTTGGGTTGTGTACTGCTGGACGTTGTCTACAAAATATTTATTGTTCTTTTTTGGTGTGTATGCCGGCGGGGGCCCCCAGCCAGGTGTGCTGCTGGAGGGCCCCACAGCGGGTGTGCTAGAGGTTGGGTTGTTGTTTTCGCTGTCTGCTGGAATATATGCGTTTCTCGCCTTTCGTGCTGCTGGCGTCTTGTTCGGGGGCCTCAGCAGCTTCAGCTTTGAGGCCCTGCTGCACACAGACGCAGCAACTCACGTAGCATTCGATCTGTTGGATGGGGTTGCTGCTTTTTACGCTTTCGCGCTGCTGCCGCGACTTGTGCAGCAGCAAAATCCCTGGCTGCATGCGCTTGCTGGTGTCTTAGTGCCAGTCTCTGTCTTCCTTCATGGCTACTCCTTCCCTACAGTGGGCGGGACTGGAGGGGGGACAGCAGCAGCGGCTGCTGCTGCGTCCGCCCCTGCTGCAAGAAGAGATCTGCACAGCTCCTCGGAAGTTCATACTATGAGGAAGCATGCAGCCATTGTGGGCGTCTTTTTTGTGGATCTTCCTCTGCTTAGTCTGAGGCTGTTTGTATGGGCCTACTATCCATCCTACACCGGTGAGTTTCGTTGCAGGCCTTTTCTATTTGCCGCCTCCTTTCTCAACTGCTGTCTCCTTGTTTGCTCACTTGTGCCTCTCTCTCGCTTTTATCTTCTCTCCATATCTCCCTCTTTTTGCCTCCTTTCGTCTCTGTGCCTGTTTCAGTTCCCTTTGACTCCCTAGACCGACTGCTTACCCGCAATTCGGTGCATCTGTCTCCTTCCCTTCTCAGGTTTTTCTCCCTTCATGTTCAAAAATATTTGCTTCATTCCCATACAACTCGCTAGGCTGCGTCAGTGTGCAGCAGCAGAACGTGCAGCAGCTGCCCTGGACGACGATGGAGCCACCGGGGGGGGGGCCACGGGGGCTCCTGTCAACGGGGCCACCTCGGGGGGCAGGGGGTCCCGAGCCCAGAGGGGCCTTACCGGTGGGGATGCCTCCGCCCTGCAGGATCGAAAGCTGCCGCGAAATGCTGCTGCTGTAATCGCTTTAGAAGAATTGGCCGCAAAAGAAGGATTGTCCCTGTATAGTCTTAAGGAGACTACAGCTACAAAAGGGAGACACTTTGGCCTAGGGTTTAGAGGAAGACAAGATGCACAACCAAAGAAGAAACAGAAAGGGGGGCCCCCCTACCGCGCCCTCCCAACCCCTTCGCAAGAACCCGATGCTGCTGTTGATAGCGACAGCAACAACAACAGTTATACTCAGCAGCAGCAGCACCAGAAGCTAGCTAGCGGTGGAGAGAAAACGGGTTTCAAGGGGTTTTCTCGCTGGAAGCGGCAGACCAACAAATCTTTAGAGGCAGCAAACAGCCCGGAAGAGAGTCTTATTGACTACGAGGCCAGGTCTGTCTCCATGTCCCCTCTTTCTGTCTCCTCGTCGTCTCTTCGTCTCTTTCTCCGAGTCTGCATGTGCCTCCTCGTGTCTCCGTTTTTGATTCTGGATGCCTTCTTATCCCTTTCGTCTCTCATCTGCGTTTTGTTTATGTTTTTTTTTATCTCTCTCTGATGTATATCCCTTCAACTAGATTCACTGTATCCGTTTTCCTGTTCTGTACCCCCACGCGGCCCTTTCATATGCTGCACATCCTGCTGCTGCTGCTGCTTTTGCTGCAGTTGCTGCTGATGCTGATGCTGCGTTTATGCATACCGTTGGGCTGTTTCTGGGTCTGCCCCTACCGTTTCAAGGGTTTAATTTGTGCATGCTGTCTTTCCCCTGCCGGTACTACCAGTCCATACTTTTGCTGCACCTGCTGTTGCTGCTGTTGCTGTTGCTGCGGCTGCTGCAGTTTGGCTCGGCTTGTGGAGGTGTGCGAGGGGAGCAGTGAGGCAACGCGAAGGCTTCCGGTCGCGGGGTTTGCTGCTCGCAGAGTTCTCCAGAGGCTGCTGTATGCATTTCGGGTGGGTGTTTGAAGATAAAGTATAAAACGAACGTCACAGAAAATCCATCCACTGCATGCACCGGAATGCAAGCGTAGCCACCAGCAGAGGCGCACCCGTCAGGAGGCTTGAGAGCAGTAGCAGCGTAAAATCACACGCGCCTCTCTTGGTTGTTGCTCTGGCATTCCGGTGGGTGGCGGGGCACCTGTCGCCATGGACCTTAGCAGCCAGACAAGCAGAAATCGAATATGTAATGCAGCAGCAGCAGCCGTGTGTTTGTTTGAGGTATACTTGCAGCGGCAGCCACGGAGGGTCTTTTTCTGGGGGGATATGCATCTGCAGCAGCAGCAGAACCAGCAGCAGCAGGAGGGGTTTGTTGTATGTTGGCGGTGTTTGTGCAGCAACTAGGGTCTCGACATGGAGCAGCCATGCTGTTGGGTCGGGGCTTTCCCGTGTCTTTTGGGGGTAGCACAAAGCTGAGTCTCCCCTTTATGATGCACTTAACCTGTCAGCTCGCTCTTGTAGCCACAGTCTTCTACTTTTACGAGGTAACAATATATGCGTGGATGCAGCCCCTTGCATGCAGTGGCATTCATGGTGGTGCATGCATGCTTGGGGGTACGCGTCTGCGTGAATGCATGCAAGGGGTAGGTTAGGGAGCGAATGATATCTACTTCATTCAAATACGTGCAGCAGGATCTCGTGTGTACCAGCGAACACCCACACCACTGTAGCCGATGTGAAGTTAGAACACAACAAACATGTCTGGTGGAGTTATCGTATTTGTTGACTTATCTATTCGGTTGTTTCCCTGTTTGGTTTCTTCCTTTGTGTGCTGTCTAGTGTTGGAAGGAGTTTCCTCCGGGCATACTGGTGTGCAGCTCTTCGCATGCATTGCTTTAATTTCTTTTGGGATGTTTTAGTTAATTAAGTATTTAATCCGGTTTTGGGTTTCTTTGTTCAGCATTGGCAAGATTTTCCAGTTGGCTTATTTTCGTTAAGGTCGCTGATAGCCGGCGACTTCTCCTGGACGTTGATGGCGCTGGAGGTTCGGGTGGCGGTTGTGTTGATTGCTTCGTTTATGTTTTTAAGTTTTTGTTTGTTTGCATTTTCCTCCCCCATTATTGATTGTCTTTTCACATGTCTCTTCGGGGGGCTGCGGCTCTTCTCCTTCTTCCTCGTTCTGTTGACCTTTAGAGACTTCGGCGTCTTCTCGGATCTTCTTCAACTGGCCTCCTCAGGCTCCTTTCCCCTCGTTGGGAAGTACTGCCTCTTCTTCTTTGCAGTCGAACCGGTATTGCACTCCTGATTTGCTGCTGATCCAGACGATGATTATAGTTCTGACAATAATGTGGATGGAGGGCAAGTGCTGCTTCTTCTCTATCGTTGCTGCTTCTGCTTGGATTCTTACAGTCCCTGCCGCCGGTGATTAAGATGATGCAGATCAAGCTGCTGCTTTCGCTGTAGACAGCAATACTTCTGGTGCTTTTGCTCCCGATAGCGGGGATGCTGTTACTGATTATGTGTTGCTGCGAGTGGTGATGATGCTGTTAGTGGTGCATCTGTTGCTGCTGCCGTTCTTTTGTACCATTGACGCGGTTCGCTTCCGCGATGCTGAAGTGGCATTTGTTGGCAAGGGTTTAGGGTTTGCGGTGTAAGGATCGGTCCCTGAGGGTGTTCGGTAATATTGATGTTGATTAAAGGCTTACTGCAGGACGTTTTTGAGAGTGCATTGCGTGTGAGGGGGTTGAATTTAGTGGGGTAGGGTTTATGTACTTACTGGGGTGTGAATTCAACTGTTGTGGGTGGTTTAGGGCTTTGCGATTGAAACCTTGTTTTGTCTCCGTAATTCGTTATGCCGTTTTATGTCTAGGGTTTAGGGTTTAGGATTTATGTCTTCTGTATGAAGGGCTACGATTGACTGAAGTATTGGTTGGTTTTGGGTCTTTCTTTGATGGAGCGGTTTGAAGGTTTCATCTTTATAGGTTGATACTGACTGCCTATTACTATGGTTTATTCTTTTTTGTTGCTGGGTTTGCATTCAGTTGTTGGGTTTGCTTGTCTCCCTCTACCCATTTATTTCTGTGCTTCTTGGGAGACAATCCATTACATATGTCGTCCCGCCCATGTACACGAACCCAAAAACTGCAGAACAAAGCGCCCCTTCACATCGACAACCCGAAATAGATTTCTCCCGTAGGCAGACACCAAAGTACCAAAATGTACAGCTCAATAATTTACCAGACAGTTCCGCTATTTTATATTGAGTTATAGAACTTCATATTGGATTGCCCAGCTCTTAGACTGAGTAACTCAATATAAAGTTCCGCAACCGGCAATGACGCTCTTCCACCCCCGCACTGTTGCTGGTGTTGCTGTTGGGTCTACGTGTGCTTCGTTGTGCTTGGTGCTGCTCTACCTGTCGCTCAAGCTGCTGCAGTTACTTCAGCTACCCCTCTAGCTACTGCTACTACTGCTCCTGCTTGTGTTGGCACCATTGCTGTTGGTGAGTATGTCGGGGTTTCGTCCGTTTTGTTGTGCTTTAGAGATGGGGGAGGCGCCTCGTGGTGACGAGAGAGAAACGGTGTCCACGGCGTCGCTGATGCTTTTCACTTCTTGCCGTTCGATGGTCGTTCCACTGTCTGTCCACCAGCTTTTAGTCGGGCCCAACCTCATTAAAGCAGTCAGGTACACGTTATATCTCCTCTTGATGGTCCTCTCTTGCTGCAGCAGCAGACGCTTCTACTCCTACTCCAGTTGCTCTTCCTGGTGCAGTTACTGCTCGCCCTCGTCCTCTTGCTGCTGATGCCGTTCCACTTTTCCCTGCTGCTTTCGCTCCTTCTCCTCCTCCGCTTAGTAGTGGCTGTTGTCGCTCCTGCTGTTGCTGCCAGTGGCGTGGTTGTCGCGTTCCTGCTGTTGCTGCTGTTCGTGTTCGCCTTCCTTTCGCTTTTGTTGGAGTTCGTCGTGCTGCAGGCGTTACCTGTGCTTTTGCGTGTGCTTCATCTGCCCTCGACATGTGGCCTGAAGGCATCATAAATCCATCAATTGCGTGTAGCTGCTACTGTTGCTGCTGTTGCTGCTGCTGTGTCTGCTGCAGAATGAACGATGGCTTGTTGCGTTCTCACTGGAGAAGCGTGTTGGTTTCTCTCTTGCTTCGTATTTGGTGCTGCTGCCTCTATTTCTCCTTCCCTGGCTCTGTTCTGCACCCCGTAAACTTCACGCCTGTAGGGTGGCCTCCCCATTCTCGTATCCTTCTTTCCGCCTTCGCAGTCTGTTTCTCCTTGTCTCCCTTTGTACAAGCCACAGCCTGTTCGTCTGTCTATTTGTTTTCCCTTTGCTGCTTGCTTTCCTATTCTCATCGTGTCGTCTCTCTGTTTTTTCTTGCGACTTTGTCCCTGCCTTTGCTTGTTCTTGGCGGTGACTCCCCCTTCCTTGCTCGAGTGTACACACAGCAGTGCTGCAGTTGTTGCTACGCCTGCAGCTGCCGGTGTATCTCTAATTGCTGTCGCTTCAGCTGTTGCCGTTCCTGCTGTGCTGCTACCGGTTTGCAGCAGCTTTCGACCGATGCTGTGGCTGCTGCTTTTGCTGCAGCTGTTGCTGCTATTTTTGTTTGGGTTGTTTACGTGCATTACAGGGAGCTGAGCGCTTGTTGGGGCTTCCTTGGTACGGAGTTTGTTCTCTTGCAACTTTTGTTTTCTGCGGGGATATCCTTCTGTCCTTGTTCTACTTGGCGACCTCCCAGCTGGTGCGGCTGCTAGCCATTAGGCAGATGGAAAACAAAGCCATCTTCAGGGACCTAGCAGCAATCGCCTTCAAGATTAAAGGTAAAAACGATTATCAGTGCAACACCCCCAGCACAGAACTCTCACTAGTTAGCTACCTGCCTGCCTATGCACCGACATAGTTAGCTACGCACCCAGGGCTAGGTGGATAGAGGGCTGGCCGACTGACTGACCAACTAGCTAGTTAGCTAGTGAGCTGGGTAGGGACCTGTGTATGCTGGGTAAGGACCTGCTGGGAAGCTAGGTAGGCCGCTGGAATGTGGCGGCTTCTAGGCTCAGATATTAGCACGTGAAACCACGAGCTTGAAGTGCGTTGCAATTTTCCGGCTGCCCAGCTACTCAATTACCAAGGTGGCCTGAGTGGTGGTGGCAGGTTCCCTCCTTCCAAGCTCTGTACCTCATTATCCCTCTTTGTGCAGGTAGTACTGCTGCTACTGTTGCTACTTCCGTTGTTGTTGCTGCTGCTGCAGAGGAGCGCCTACGTGCTTGTTTGGGGATGGCTGGGGGCGTGGGTTTGGACCCGCAGCAGCTGGGGCTAGAAGTTCATGCGGTGTGGCGGCGATTCAGTCGCCACTGTTTCTTTACTTATCCTGGAGAACTTCTTCCTCCTTTCTTTTGAAAAGACCGCTTCAGCTAATTCCTCTTTTAATGCAGAAAAGGCAACGGTGTAGTGTGTGTCTCAATGAATGGAGACAGAGTCATACTATCTCATTAATCGTGCGCTTTGTGCTTTGGACTTTGCTTGCTTGGTCGCTTGCGTCAACGTTTTCCAAGTGTTCGCTGTAGTAAACAACTGAGATAAGCACTATCGACTGATAGACGTGCAAATAGACTAACATCCAGACTTGAGATGGTCCTGCTCATTACTGTTGTTGCTGCAGTTTCTCGTGGATACGATGATTGTCTCACCGACTGGACTTGTTAGATTGCTTGCCTCAAGACCAAGACGTATCACGGCAAAAAGGCGGCTGTGGTTACTCTTGGTCTTCAGGCAATCAGCCTGCGCTATGTGTTTTGCTTCTCCACCAAAACCACTCCACGGGCCACCACAAGCTGAATTAAAGAACAGCTATAACAGTCGCTTGCTGCAGCACAACCAGCAGCGGCAACAGCAAAACATTCGGCAGCCGGAGCAACAGCAGGTGTAGAAACAGCATGGGCTGAAGGGGATATAAGCCCCTACACACCAAATCGTAGTCGATGCGGTTTTCATGTTTTGAGGCTTTTCCGTGAAAACCATACCGCCACGGCACGTTTGCAACAGCAGAAATGCTGACCGCTTCTGATACAGCATTAGAAGCACTAAAAGCACAACAAATAGCAGCAATACGAAGAGGACCTTGCTGATTCCTACTACACGTCTACGCCTTAAAAATTGTCTGAGGGGAGAGAAGCAGAGGCAGCAACAACAGTAGGGAGTTTCACCTGCTGCGGCTGCTACAGTTGTTACTGGACACGACTGCTCTGGGAGTTAGTTAACCCTGCCTCCTACATGCAGAAACCCTAAAACCTAAGCTGCAACCCAAAGTCTAAAGCCTGATGTCTAAACTGTAGGTTCCCGCTGGCTCGTCTATGGCAGGTTGAGCGTTAACGTCTACAGAGCCTCCAACTGTCCCACGGCTGCCCAGGGAACCTACAAATCTCCATATTCATCTGTGGAGTCCCGCTGGATTCAAGGGGTCACAGACGAAGTCCTTCACGTGAAGTGCGTAAGCACCGGGATACCAAGGTCCCCCGTTACTTTGAGTCAGTTGCTGCTCCCCTGTCAACAGCATAGCCTCTTTGTGAAGCACCAGCTACTGTGGCACATGCTCTTATATCTGGTTTGCAAGAAGACGCGGTTCCATGCATATTTACCTACAGTACACAGCGCCTTATGATTGTTGCAGACGCTCTCCGGTTCTACGGAATATGAGAGCATGCAAAACTGCATATTTTTCTCTTGCTTCTACTTCTTCACGGATGCCGCATCGGCCACAGAAATAAAAGTCCATCACTAGATGCTCTGATATCCCAGACAGAACACTAGGAACTGTAATTTCAACACACGGACCAGCGCAGGTGGAACTGGTCCCGTTAAGTGCAGCATGTGCGCCACGCGTTCTGAACGAGCGTAAGACAGCAGTGCCGCCCGCCTGGGCCCTTCCTGTCAGAGCGTCTTCTGGGTGTCGCTTCGGCGTATCCAACGGCTCTACGGGTTGGGGGTTGAGTACTCTATAGGCTGGGGCGGTGATTGCGGGCTCCTCGAAGCTGCTGTCTATCCGCCTCTACATTGGGCGCATAAGGCGAGCGTAACTCAGCTAACTCGAAACGATTACCAGAATATGTAGAGGGCACTGACTCCATGTAGAGTTGTACGAATATTGTTATTGGTTTGATACAAAGACAACCCTAAGCTGTAAGCAACAGGCCCTAAACCTGTAATCTTATGGGAGAAATTCTTATTCTTTAGCCTTAACAAGCACCAATAAAACGAGAAGCAAAGGTAGATATCCCCTCCCAGAATTCGTTGCATATCACAGATACATTGCAGTCTATTAACCACAGCAGTACTATATATACTATGCACTACCGTTATATATGGTGCACTGTACATCATGCTTCAGGGTCTGGCTGGTGGTTTAGGCTCAAGCCTAATCTTAACAACAACAGCGACGGTATTCAACGAGGCGGCCTGCAGCTACTAAACAGCAGTACCGTGAGCACCAACTGACTAGCAAGGAGGTGCTGGTGCCTAGATGGCTATCACATCATAGCAACACAAGCTCTACTAAAAGTGGATTTCAACGTATCCGGGGAGTTCTGGATGCCCCTTGCAGCAGCAGCAGCAGCAGCACCCGAGAAAACATCGGTTGCTCTTGAAGCCGCAGACAGACGACCACAGAAGGCACCTAGGGGCACATTTTCCTGCCTTTGCTTTCTTCACGTTTGCTGCTGCCGCTGCTCTTCAGTCAGAAATTGGTTAAGAGCAGCAAGTTGCTGCAGCGCGGCGTGCGGCAGTGGAGCAGGGGTATCAGGTCCAGGTGCAGCAACAGCGGGTTGTTCAGTGTGTCCCCAAACATCATGTGTTGCAGTCAAAGCCCCTTCCGAAGAAGCAAAGACAGCGGCATCAGAAGCGATGGTCTGCAAGGGTTGCTGTTGCTGCTGCTGGTGATACTGGTGCTGCTGGTATTGGTGCTGCTGCTGGTGTTGCTGCTGTTGTTCGCTGTTGGTGTTTTGGTGCCGTCTCAGTAGTACAGTCTCGTTGTGCGTGAGTAACTGTGGTTGTGTGTGCGCCGTGTGTTGTTCCTGCGGCATCTGCTGCTGCTGGTGCTGCTGCTGCGGGCTCCAGTCTTGGCCCTGCACATGGAGGGGCATCCGGGCGCTGCGCTGCAATCGGAGGTCTAGCTGTTGCTGTAGCCAGTCAACAAAAGAGCGATGATCGAAGCCGTAATTAAACCAATAACTCTTTTCTCTGGTGTAGAGCCACCTTTTGTTCCCGCTCACCTCCCACTCAGGCAGCACCTGCACGAAGCAGCAGCATACACAAAGAACCAATCAGTAAGCGCATGTCCCACCTGCTGCTGCTGTTAAGGAGACGGCAGGTGCAGCTGCTGCTGTGGTCGTGGAGGCCATAGCTGGTGCTGCTGTTGTGGCTGCATAGCTGCACAGTAACACCGGTAACGACACTGCGGCCACACCGGAGCTTCTGCCGCGGGCTGCAGCAGCAGCAACAATCGCCAGGGTACAGCCCTCGATATAATAGCACAGCATCATCTACGAACCACTAGCACGGCAGCATCAGCAGCACAGCCGCCGCAAAAGGACAGGAGCAACCGATCATCAAGAACACTGTAGAACGCACCTTTCCTGCTGCAGTAGCAGCAGCACAGAGAGCCTGAGGATCCTGGGGAGTATCTGCTGCCTTTGCAGCAGCGGCAGAAGCAGCAGTAGCCTACGGCGGCAGGAACAGAAGGCAGCGGCAATAGAAAGCACATGGGCCTCAGCATATGAATAAGCTTAGAAAATCAAATGAAGAAAGGAAAGGAAGAAACGGGTCATGGACACAAAAAGGAGAAAGGCTATAGGGGAGACAGAAAATCGACAGGAGAAAACGGCATAGGGGACACAGAAAATCGACAAAGGGAGGCGGAAATTAGAACGTGGTGCTGTTACCGGGGGCGCTGCGCTAGGAGGAGGGAAGACAGAATCCCCTAACACTTCATCTATGTCGTCTGCTGCATCTGCTGTTGCTGCTGTTGCTGTTGTTGCTGCTGCTCCCTTTTTTGAAGGAGGAGACAAAGAATTCCCTGCTGCAGCAGACAAACGCTTCGCTGGCGGCAGTTCTGCTGCTGTTCCAACTGCTCCTGCTGCTCCTGATGCTGCTGCTATGCTAGGCTCCGACAAGATTGCAGACGCAGCGCCATCTAAAGCGTCGCCCACAAGGACCTACAGTAGCAGCAGCAGCAGCAGTTGCAGCAGTAGCAGCCGCACAGCAAACACCGAACCCACTGAAATGGTGCAGCACAGGTAGAAGAAGCATCATCGACGGAACGTCATGCAGCTGCAGCAGCATCAAGGGCTTCAATAGCAGTAATAGCAGAGAATGCTGCCCAAGATCGCACGCACTAGCAATAGCAGCACCAATAGCAAATGCAACAGCAGAACATCATACAACAGTGAGAGCCGGAGCAACAATCACATACGCAGGCAGCTATAGTAGTAGCAACGGACCTGCACATCCTCCTCCGCCGAAGATGCAGCTATCGGGTCCTTCATTATATTTGTTATTTGGTACCTGGGCTCCCTGCTGCTCTTTGAACAGGGGTGTAGCAGTAGCTGCTGCTCTGCTTGCTTCTCTTGATGATTGGAGCACTACTCCTGCAGTTGCTGATGGTGCTGATACAGGAACTTTCTCTTGCAACTGGTGTGGTCGCTGCTCCTGCAGCTTCTGCTGGGTGCTTGTACTGGCGCAGGCGCACTCGTAGCTACTTATTACCGAAGAATTGTGTTTGTTCTGCTGCTACTATTCTTTTCTATGAATAGAACCAGTACATTGCTGCTGATTTGGGGTTTCTGCTCCGGCTGCCCCCGCGGTTGCAGCTCCTGCTGCTCCTGCTCCTGCTGCAACAGCGGTGCGACAGACTCTGCTGCTCCCACTTCCCTCAACTCTACTAGAAGTGGTTCGCCGCTGCAGATAGTCTGTTGACGCTGATACTACTGTTGTTACCATGGCTGCTGCTGATACTTCTACTCTTGCTGCTATATTGCCGCTGTTGCTGCTGCTGCCGAGCGAAAGCGGATGCTGTCTGCAACGGCAGCAAGTGCTGCTGCACAATTATTCAAGGTATTTCACCGTTGCTTTGAAGTATATTCTTGAGCCAAAAGTCTTCTGCTTCTGCTTCCCTTTTGTGCCTTCGTGTTGGGTCTGCATGCTGGGGGGGGCCCCCAAAGGGCCCCCAGCTGCCCTCTGTTGCAGCTGCAGGCACAACCGAACAGAAAAAACATTATACACAGTTAAATTGCCCTTTCAGCGTTTTTCATTATGTTTTAAAGCTTTGCAGCTGCAGGGTTTCAAGTAGGTTTATGGGGTGCACGACGTTCAGTGCCTGAGCCGTGGAGGGTTTGAATTAGGGTTTGAATTCGGGCATAGTACTTTACATCTGGGGCTCAGAAATGCAGCAGGCTACCTCTAGAAATTGTCCTGTCACCATCCCCTTTGAGCTGTGAGCCCCAATACAGCTAACGTGTCAGCCAGATAGGCAGTTTAGCCTGCTAGTCATCCTAGCAACAGAGCTTGCTCGACAACACGCGAGATAGCCCGCCACCATATAGCTAGCTACTGAACCACACGCTCGCGAAGTCAGCTAACTCTCTAGAAACCTGACCAACTGCCCCGCCAACTACCTAGCTACATATCTAGCCACAAAGAAGCAAGAAGCTGTAAGACCAGCTGGCTGGCGGCTAGCGCGATGGGTAGCCACAGGTGGAATGATGCGGAACCCCACTTGCTCCGCACCTACAGGTTAAAATGTACACTAATAACCCCCTCAGAAATATATACTTGAAATATGTAAACAGAAATACATAGTAATACGAACACGATTAAATACATAAAACTCCAGCAAGCCACATAGTTATTTCTGGCTGCATGCATTTCTAGGAAACAAAAACCGTGAAGGCTTCGGAGCAACAAAATAAATGTTGCTGCAGGGGCGGAGCGCCGCTGCACTATCAGCAGCTGCCGCTGTGCTGTTTCTGCCTGCTTGGGCTGCTACCCGCAGTACCCTGCGCAGTAGCAGACCGCCCTGCTGCTGCTGAGTTCAGTGCTGCAGCAAAACAGCTTTAGCAGGTCTGCTCCTGCAGCAGACGTGGTTGACGCAGCACAGCCCGCGGAACCAGCGAATGCGGCAGGAGCAACAGCAGTGTTACAGACGGACTTGTGATCTCTTCCTTTTGTTGCCTTTGAGAGCCCACAAATTCAGCAGCTCTTCTCGAGCCTCAGGCTGCAGCAGCTTCGCAGATTGCAGGGGCGGCACTACTGCCCCCACACGCACATCTACCTGCAGCAGAAGAAACAGAAACAGCAACAGCACAAGAAGCGTTTGTAGTAGTGATAGCAGGGACAGGGCCGATACAGAGCTGAATGGACGGTGATATGCAGCCAGAAAGGGAATTTGTGCAGATGCAGCAGTGGGAACTGCTGCTGCTGCATGGAGGAAGGAGACGAGGAATTAGCGAGAACGCTTCAGCAACAGCAACGAGACTGTCTAGGAGGCGAATAAAGAAAACAGCAACAACAACAGCAAAAAAGATAAAAGCGGGGCCCACAAGCTCGGCAAAACGACCAAGCAGTAAGAAGAGAAGAAGCAGCAGACACAGTACCGCGACAGCAACTGATATACAGAAACAGCACCAGGAATGTAGGGAGATCAACAGAAAGGGACAGATGGCAGCAGCGGAGACAGCAACAACCCAGACAGCTGGAGCAGAGATCTCGTGCATGAACAGACAAACCCTAGGGGCTACAAGCCGGCGGTGAGCTGCAGCAGAATTCCACTCCGGCCCCAAAGGTTGCCGGATCTGCGCCTCGTATTCCTCAGCGGGCATGCACTTCGGTAGCTGCAGCAGACACACCACAAACAATGTAGCCCCTGCTGCTGTGCCTGCTCGTGCAGGGGTTGCTGCTGCAGGCGATCCAGCACGTAGTGTTCAACGGGCCACACTCAAGGAAGCATGAATGTTGAAACAGCAGTAGCAGCATCGGTAGCAACCGCAGTAGCAGAAGGCCCTAAAAAAAGCAGCAAGTGCAGCAGCTGCACCTGAGACACGAAGTATTTGTTGCTCTTCTTGTCGTCTTTGGTGTTGATAACGACGAGGCGCTTCGCAACACTGGCTGCTGCGGCTGCTGCCTTTGCAGCCGCAGCTGCAGCAGCAGCTGCTGCTGCAGGCTTCCTTCGTGGTTTCTTTACGTTCGCTCCTGTCCATGACCCCCAACCCGGCAGAAAAGAATCTGCGAGCAGGCATCAAACACCCCCAACGTCTTGCAGTCCTCTTGCATGCATGCATGCAAACATGCATGCATGGGTGATTTGTATGACACCATGCATCGCATGTCTTACCATATAACAAACATGCATTCCCTGTCGTGTGCAGGCACATCAACAGTAGCATGCAAGAGTGCATCCAATCACGCCAGCGGCTGCTGATGTATGCATGCATGTGTGCAGCTGGTTACATGCGCAGTGCGCCTTTACCGTCTTTTTCTCCCTCCTCCTTTTTTGCTTCTTGTGCGGCTTCTGCTAAAAAGAGTTCCTCTTCATCCCCAGTTACAAACGCCTGCTGCACCAACAGCTGCTGCTCCTCCTCCCTTTGCCGTTCTCGCTGGTTCTGGTGCAGCTGCTTCTTCTGCTGCAGCTGCTGGTGCTGTTTCCTCTTTGCGTCGCCTACTGTAGGGGTGTCTCCCTTCTCCCCGGCAGCAACTGCCTCATGAGAGACCGTCTGCAGCTGTGGCGCAGCAGAGTAGCACCAATGCAACAAGATTGCCAAAAAACATGGAGCAGCAGCAGCAAACCAACAGCAGCAACAAACTGCGTGCATCACGAGGGCACGAAGCGGCAGCACCAAACGGTTAGTGGCAACCAACAGCAGTAGCAGCACCAGCGGCAAGCCCTACAAAGTCTTCCAAGCCTTCATGCAGCGTCTTTGCAGGCTCAGACTTTCCTGCAGCCGCTGCAGCCGATGCTGATGTTTGTTTCCTGCTGCTGCTCTTGTGCTGCTGCATCCATGGGTTGCTGTTGCTGGTGTCCTGTTGTTTCTTTTGCTTCTGCTGCTTCATAAGCTGAGCAGCAGCTTCCATCTCCAAATCTGCTGCTTTCACTGCATGGTGCTGCCGCCGCATTTCCATGCGCTGTTGTTCCTGCTTCTCGTGCTCCTGCTGCTGCTTTTTCAATGTTCGGTGCAGCAACGCGACTGCTGCCTCGGATGAAATCGCCAGTTCCTCCTCATCTCCGCTTGCATCTTCATCCTGATGCTGCTGCTGTTGCTCCTGCTGCTGTTGTTTCTGGTGCTGCTGTTGCTGTTGCTCCCTCGCTTCTTCTTCTGCAAGCTTAGGAGAGAGGAGGGCCTCAAGGCCCCCCTCCTTCAACAGGGAGGAGACAAGTGTCTCTGCCTGCTGCAGTTCTTCCTTGCCGACTTCAGGGGGTTGAGCAGGAGCATTACCAGCAGCTCTCGCCTTTGCTTTCATGACTTTCCTTTCTTGCTTTGCAGCAGCCAAGCAGAGTTTTGCTGCCTTTGCGGCTGCGTTGCTGCTGCGATCTACTTCAGCCCCGTCTGCGGCGTCTTCCTGTTCACCTTCGCTGGCGTCTGTGTCAGAGCTACTGCTGCTGAGTTCTCCCTCGCTGCCGCTCCCGCTGCTGCTCTCGCTGCTGCTGCTGCTGGGTATGCCAGCTTCTCGCTGCCGCTTCCTCCGTTCTATCTTGGCTTGCAGAGCTGCTGCTTCTTTACGGGCCTTTTCGATCCCCCGACGGACAAAGGGGAGACCGAACAGTCCCTTACTCGGGAGCTCCGGTAGTTCATCTGCTTCGCCTGCTCCTCCTCCTCCTGCAGCAGCTGCTGCTGCACGAAGAGCCCTTAGCTTCTCTCCTGCTGTCTGGGGAGCACCTGAATCTTCGTCGAGCTCCTCACCACCACTGCTGGGGCCTTCGTCGTCATCGCTGTCTGTAGCATACCGGCAAACACAAACAGCAACTTCGCATAGCGGCAACGACAGCAAGAACTGCAGTGGCAGCGGCAGCAAAGGGAGCACACTGTAGCAGTAAGCAGCAGACACACTCACCGTCGGTCTGCTGCTGTCCCTTCACCGCCTTTTCTAAGGCTCGACGCTCATCCAACCCGCGCTGCATCACAGCAGCAGCAACAGAAACAGCACCACGTGCAACAACAGTAGCTAGCGCTGGCGGTGCGATCTGGTTTTGAGGTGCTCCTTCCTTCTCCGCGTGCTCTTGGTAGTAACGGGCCTGAGACTGAAGGGTTTCGGGCTTACTTGTTGCTGTCTGCTTATCTCTGCCTGCATGTCCTTGCCGCCGAAACGCTGAGCTAATCTAGCCCACTTGGTTCTTGCTTGCTGCTGCCTGAGGATACGCTGTTTTGCGTGTTGCTGCTGCAGCTGCTGCAGGAGCTGCGCAGCTAGCTCGGGGTTCTCCTGTTGCAGTCTCTCTAAGAGCTGCTGCTGCTGCCTCGCCTCCAGCTGTCTACGCTTGCGGCGACCCTCCTTCGATTTTACCTGTTTCAACCGGTGAAGACGCCGATGTTCTTGAGACAAAAGAAAACGCAGGCGAGCAGCTTGCTGCTGCTCTTGCTGCAGAAGAACACCAGAAGACACCACCACGACGCAGATACTACTGCTGCCCGCGCTCCTTCTAACATATGTCGCGTACGGTTTGCACAGTTTTGGCCGCGACTAGATCCCTACAGAGGCATGTTTATTCGTATTGTAAAATGTATTTCTTTCATGCACTCCCGTGTATCTGCAGTGTACATGCACCTATGTGTATGCGTCGCACACAGTCCGCGACTGTCTAATATCGGTTGCATACATTTACCAATAAGTATTGGTTATATACATGTACGCATGGGCCTTTATCTAAAAGTCAAGTACCTAAAATAGATAAAAGATTCCACAGTGGTAGCAGCTCTGCAATTGCTCACCTGCCTCCTTATGGGGTCTGCAGGGGCCAGAGCCTTCTCCTGCAGCAGCTGCTGCTGATCGCTGCTGCTGTTGGCCACTGCCTGCAGCAGCACTGCCTCGAAACCTTGGGGTTGCATGAGAGCTGCTGCTTGCTGCATGCTGCGCGTGGTGCAGGTGGCTGCTGTTGTGGAAGCATATCCAAAATGCAGTTGCCGCTGTTGCTGTTGTTGCTGCAGCACAGGCACCCACTTGCATGCATCTTGCTGCGCAAACTCATACTGCTGCTGCCGCAACAGCAACTGCTGCTGATGCAACGGGAGACGCTCTGGCAGCACTCCAGAGTCGAGCGCCACTTGCTTTGCTGCTTCCGCCGCAGCAGAAGCTGCTGTAGCGCCCTCATCCATAGCTGCTGCGGCTGCTGCGGCTGCACGCCGCGACGGAGCAGCAAGAGCACTCAGTTGCCGCTGCAGATCCCCGTGTTGCGTGCTGCCTTCAACCACTGACAAAATGTCATCAAAACCGAAGCCTACACACAGCCCCCAGCAGTAGTAGAAGCAGTAGAAGCAGGATCAGCACATCATCAACAACAGAATGGCACACGATGCAGCACTGTGCACTACAATCAAGCTGGCTGGTCCTGTCGCCAGCCGGGTTCGCAAAGATAGCAACAGCAGCAATAGGAGTAAGAGCAGCAACAGGAACGGGGCAGAGCCAGCCGTCTAACTGCCAGTAGGGGCTCACTTGCAGCATCGGCTTCGTCACCCCTGAGCAACTGCAGAGTTCCCTCTGCTGCTCCGTCGCACATCTTTGCCGCTGCGGTTGCTGCTGCTGCTGCTGACGCTTGGTCCTTCTGCTTCTGCTCCTGTCGAAGCGTCTCAAGCAGTCCTTCGCAACCGTCATCTACTCCAGAATCATCACTGCCGCCATTTCTGCTGCCGCTGCTGCTACCTCGGCTGCTGCTGCTGCTGCTTCTCCGGCGACTGTTGCTTGCGCAGCCAACGGCCCCTCCCCGCAATGTGTCCTCATCTTCTGAAATTTCCTCCTCCACAGAAACGCCTCTGGTGCCCCTTGGAGCCATTGTATCTACCGGCAGCAGCAACTGTTGTTGCTGCTGCAGCTCCCTGGGGTGCAGGGTGTCGCGAATGTTGCTGCAACGACGAGCAGCACTGGAGCACAACACGATCCGCTAGTCCTAGTCCTGGGTTCTCAAATGAGTATTCCGATGATTAGCCAGTGTGACAAGCGCTCCTGCTGCTGCCACAGGAGCAGGTGCTGCTGCTATCCCAGCAGGAAGAGGCCCCTTCAGAGGCGGGTGCTGGGGGCCCACAAGACTTCGTTGGTTGCTGTCTATCCTAACGTCCATACGATAAACCTGCTGCTGAAATATATTCACATTAGTTAAATTCGAAGGAGAAAGGGGTTCAGAAACACCTTTATTTACACATCACCACAAAACATTCCATCTGTGGGGCCCCTCTGTGGGGCCCGAGGGTCGTAGGGATTCGCATGCAGGAGGAGAAGGCGACGACGCAGCAGCTGCTGCTCCGTCGGTTAAGGTGGGAGAGTTCCTGCGAAATTTTCCTCCTGCTGTTGCAGTCTGCTTCATGCTGTTCGTGTTTGCTCTCTAGTGTATAGCCAGCGCACGTGCTGCGACACCCCCCTGTCGCAGCCGCAACCGTCACAATGGGGTTACTTGTGCCTCCAGCTTCTGCTGCGTCTACGGAAGCAACAACGAAGAAAGTCTTATGCTGACCGGAGCCCCGTTGGCGGCTGGTTACCCAGCGGCAGCAGCGGCATCTGCTGCTGCACGGCGCCACAGACCTAGCAGCTGCAGTCGACGCCTGCGGAGCTGAAACCCGAATATTAGACCCTAAACGTATCTCGAAGACGCCTAAACCGACATATCCACAACTGATGCAGTCGCCCTAGCAACTAACGATCGAACTGTGAGCCTTAAACCGAGTGCGCCTGCAATACTACATACCTACAAACCCAACCCCCCCCACCCCTAACAGTCCTATGACATCGGCGCTGAATAGCCGAGCATGCCTTGCGTTTATAAACGCTGAGCACTAAACCGTGCAGTAAGGTAAATTCCTCCTAAACACTGGACCCCAACATTTGAACTGCTGTGGATATCTGGGCTGACGGCCGTCTGCGTCTGCAGCCTCATTAAACCCCTGCTTGAAGGGACGCACAGCACTGTCTCAACTGTTACACTATTTCTGGTGCCCCAGTACCACAGCAGGACCTCGTGTAGTCCGCAGGCGCATCAGAGCAACGCTGCAACACCTGCAACTGCAGCATGAGGCTAACAATTGGTTGCTGTTTTCACACCTTCGCAGCAGCACTAGGTCAACAGCCTGCTGCTGCTCTACCTGATGCTGCAACGCATGCAGCTGTGTAAGCAGCTACTGCTGCTGCAGCGGAAGGCGCATCTGCTGGCATTGGTGCTGCAGCTTCCTCAGCATGCGCTTCCACTGCAGTCCCAACGGTGTCTTCTCCAGCATCTGGTAGTCCCACTGCAGCAGCTCCTGTTGCTACTGCGGCTGTCTCACCCGTCTAGTCACAGTTTACACCGCAATAGCATCTCTCTGTGCATTTGTGCAACACTTCCGTCTCTGACTCCCCCACGCCAAACCCCAGCCCCACAACTTCAATACTTCCTGTTGCTGGGGGCACCCACTTGTGCCTTCTACTGTCGTCCATACTGTCGACGATTTGTTGCCGCTGCCCCCGCATGGACTGTGTCCGTGCTGTCCTCTGCTGCAGCAGTAGGTGGTGATGCTGCTGCAGGCCTTCGTGCATTACTTTGTTACTGCGTTGGTGCTGCTTCAGGTGCAGCTGTTGCTGCAGCTGCTGCTGCAGCTTGCGCAGCTGCCTACAACGGCTGTTTACTGCTGCTACTGGATCCCAGTCCCCCCTGAACTCTAAGTAGTCGTTGTCTTTGCTGCCGAGACCAGAGGAGTGGCAGCCAACTGCTTCCTGCTGCTGTAGCCATGAGTTGCCTTGCTGTGTGCCGTCCTCCTCCCATCCATCCCTGCTGCTGCTGCGGCTTCGGCTGCAGCTGTTCATGGCGCTGCTGTGGCTGCTTCTGCTGCCTTTGCTGACTTCCGTTGCATCGGCTTTCCTCAAACATGTCTCGACTTCAGCCTGCTGACTGCGAAGCAGGGTCCCCTTCCTCTTGGCTGTCTTGGAGAGAGGGGGTCTCTGGTGCACCTGCTGGTGTTGTTGCTTCCGTTTCTTCCGCAGCTGCTGCTGCTGCAGGGATTGTCTGTTCCTGACTCTGCTGCTGCTACCGTTTCCGTAATTTACCTCTGGCGAAGACAGTCGATCTGGGAGTTTCCCAGGACGGTACCAGCCGACCTTAGCCCCCTCCGATTGCTGTTGCTGCTGCTGTCTATGGTGCTCCTGCATGCCCTTCACCTTCATGTAGCGTTGCCGATGCACCTCAACTGCTGCCGACTCGGGGGGCGGAAAGGCCCGTCGCACCAGCTTTGAAGGCACCTGCCCTAGTTGCAGTTTCTTGTGCTGCTGCTGCCGCCTCGGCCGCCGACGCTGCTGCTGCTCCTGCCGCCGCCGACGCTGATGCTGCTTCCAGCGCAGCTGGGGGCCTTCAGTATAAGAAGAATCAGAGTCTCCCGAAGAAGAATGCGAAGAAGAAGCGCAGGAAGAGGACGAGAGGATGGAATCAGCGAGACGACCCGACGCAAGCGTGCTGCTGCTGCTGCAGCTACCGTTGGTTCCACCGGTCTTCTCCCACGCTCTCCCCTGCTGCAGCGGGTCTTTCGGCGGCAGCGTCCTCGCAGAAGGCCATTTGTCTAGACTTTGACTACTAGTACTATCACGCAAAGTTGCGGAGCCTGTGGTAGTGCGTCTGGATTGCTGTTGCTGCTGCTGGCGCTGTAGCCGTTGTTGCTGTTGTTGCTGTTGCTGCTGTTGCTGCTGTTGCTGCTTGCTGGTATGGGGGACCGTTTTTCGCTGCTTCTGCGACTTTTGCAGCAGTTTGTTGTAGCGCCTCTGCAGCAGTTCCTTCTCCGCCTGGCCAGTGTCCCAGTACCAGCGTTTGAGATCTTCAATCTTTTTTCTGAACTCAAAGTTTGTGGTTTGCTGAAACGATTCCAAAGGCTCCCAAGTGTCTTCTTTGGGATCGTTGTAACCCCTCCATCTTACACGAAAGAAAAACTTGCTGAAGACCCTTTTAACTCCTACGATATCCTCCACAGGATACAATCCGTCTTCCCCTTCTACAAACGTCGCCATAGCGGAGGACAGCACTGCAAGAGAGCCTCAGGATATGCGCCTGCAAACAGACACTGCCCAGGTCAGCAACACAGGAAATACACATGTCTACAGAAGAAAAGGAGAAACAGTGGTTGGATTCATTATTGGAGATAAAGAAGACATAGGAAAAGAACACAAAGTGTCCCCTGTTGTTTCACATTGCTGGTCCGCGACAGTTGCTACAGCCACTTTCGGAGGGGGAAGAGCCTTCTTGTGGCCTCAGCAATTGCTTTTGCGAATGGGAACACACAACAATTTCCTTTAAAATTCGATGCATGAACTGTTCGTCTGAAGTTGATGGGGAATACAACGAATTGCTATAAAGTCAATCCTCAGTGGGCTCCCTGCGTGGTCTGTCTGGTCTGTCCTAAGCACCGCAGCAGCTCGTTCTGTTCCAAGCCAGCTGCACATTTTTGTAGGTCTGATTTACCTTCTTATTTTGGTTTGCTCACCTTTTCCTTTTCCTTAGTTACTATAATTATTCAGAACCCTTATTTCAGTCCAACAAGTAAAAAAGGATGGCATGTACATAAAACCTGGTAGCCCACACCCAAACCCTCAAGCCCCCCAAGGCGTGGCGCGCGTCTCCGCCCTGCTTGTGTATCTGACAAACAGAACCACATCGTATTCTTAATCCTATTCTACCACTTTCTCGTGAAAAGGTATGGATAACACTAATACATACAAGCTACGGCTTTCTGACGCCGCACCAGGTTGAAGTTCCCTTTTCTAGTGGCTGCACGGCCACAATGGCACCTCTTCTGCGGTTTTTCGGGTTGAGGGTTTAGGGCTTAGGGATTAGGGCCAAGTGATCCTTAAGGTATATATTGTTTCAGGTTACGTCGATTTAAGGATACAGGATTTAGGGTTGGAACTTAATAACTCTGCATTTTAAGTGGTTAGTGTTGAGGCTGGTAACTATGCTGCAGGGGCCAGCGTTCCAGTGAGGCGGCTGCGCCTTTTCTCTCCATCTATTTCTCTTCAATTATTCAAGAGGCACAGGGACCATTCAGATAACTTGACATATTTCATCCATATAGATTAATATGGATTATTACTAGATTCTGTTCAACGAAAGTGAATGACGAACCCGCTCGGAACCCGCGCTAACGCCTATTGTGGAGGCTCGAGGCCAATCGAGCAGGCCTTCATAAGTACACATGGTGTCCCTTACTGAGAACGTCTCATGCTGTCCCTGTTAATTCGCATTTGCATTGAATTCTGGCCTTTAAATTTTATGAATAAGGAACCTCATCTATAGGAAGAATCAGCAATTTATGTATCTACGAGGCATACGCCTTCGCCCAGGCGTCTAGTGGGAGGAGAAAACGGGGGATGGGCAGCATGCATGGTGGTGCCACTGTAGTGCAAGCTATACCACCTTGCCCATCCCTTTGACCCCCCTGCGGCAGTAAAGTAACCTCTACTTGAGGTAGAGGTGTTATTGGCCCATGGGCCATGAGAATCAGAGGAAAACCTACAAAAAGCAGCAGTACAGAATTCGCCGGAACCTGACTGCCAACCACGATGGCTATAAGCTATATTATGTAATGCCTTTGCAAGTCATTGTCCCGTAACCGCTTTAGATGAGTGATGTACATGGTTGGAATCTTCTCGCAGTAGATATTGATTGCGCTTGACCTCCATGGGTATGGGCTATGTTACTATCACCGTGTCGATATTCATGAAGACGCCGAAATGCGTGCTATAATTCAGAGGGGAGTTTTTCTCACTGTCGTTTCTCAATGTCGTCTGCCTGCATGCAAGGTATCACAAAATTCTGTGTATGACACGGTGCTCGTGCGGCACATCTTCCATGGTGCATCGCACGGCTTTTACTTGTGAGGCGCCTATCGATGGACGAAGTGAGTACAGCTTGGGGCTTTGAGAGACCTTTTGGTCCTTCCAAGGTTACCATTCTACCCTATAGCCCATTATATCAGGTCTTCGCCGGTTCGAGACCTGCCCAAGGAACGTGGTTATTGTTAAACCTCCTTGCGCCCGTTCTTGCGCACGTAATGAACCATCTGTATCCCCATGCATTTGCGCGTAACAAGCTACATACATGGCAGCCTGGGCTGTTTACGTCGCCAGCAGTATGCTGAGATCATGACGCCCTAGCTAGGAGATGCCTGGTCTGCTGCACGCTCCCCATCGACCCATCCCCACGTGCAGATGCTCAGAGCGTAACGCCGGTCCTTCCTCAAAAGCCTAAGCCTTATACCCCTACACCCTAAACGCTAAACCCTAAGCCCTAGATCCCTAAACCCTTAAGTCTAGACCCCAAACCCTATACCCTAAAACCCTACACCCTAACCCCTTAGCCCTTAGTATAAAGCCTAAAAAGCTAGAAAGTTGTTTCAGCGGTAAATGGCGAACCTGTTCTGTCCGGAAAAGATTTCATGCACAAGAAAGTTGGCTCATTTTGGGTGGCACGGTGAGCTTCAGCCTTGACACCAGTGTGCAACGTCAGTAGGGGCCGACGGGCGCATGATTCGGGGTGATCCCGTCATTCAAAGCGGTGACGACCTGAGTTGGCGGTCCTGTAGCCAGTGGGCAAGTGTGCAAAAATTGTGGATCACAGATGCTCTACCCATACTCACTTACTCCATGCATCGGTTAGATCCCCAAGGAGGAACACCGTCACAACTCATTCGGTGCATTACGAAAGCTGGAGCTGAAGTGCGCTTTGTTTATTATTAGGAACTCAGTGATGATACACAAATCAAACGCCCTCACTGGTCATGCTTAACGGTCTAGTCGCCTGGAAAAGACGCTGAACGCTTAAACCCTCAATTCACGCGAAACGGCGGAAATCATGTGTTTTGCTTATCGTGGCGCTGTTTGTCTCGCGCTAAAGGCGACAACAGGAAATCGTCAAAAAATCCAGTACTGCAACTTGTTGGCCACCCGAGCTAAACAAGCTACATAGAGTAGAAGACTACGATAGGTCGGACGCACTTCGGTGATTTCCGCCAGTAGCTGCGTGCTAATATTAGCATGCCCCATAACTGTTGTTCCGTATGACACAAGTCCCGCAGCCATACACTAAACACAAAACGCATGCATCCAACACCGTAACACGGCTCCTTAAAGCGCACGAAATACATTTTTAGCAAAGCAGAGCCACAATAAGTTGCGTTGGAAACTACAAGCTCATGTGCAATCCCGCTTTCTTTCTTCGTGCTACGCGGCGTCCTGTGGCTCCTTGGAGCTTTGCCGCACAACTGTTGGGAGAGGGCATTTGGCTGCCTTTCTGGGCTAGGTGAAGCAAATGGCAGCATAGGAAGTTTGGAAAGTGCATACAGTAAGGTTTATTACCGCTTATATGCTGTCTGTGGGTGCAGAGGCCTACTGCAATACCCAACTCCATGTGGCCACATCAACGTTGTCAACGCTCCAATGCATGCGTCAGCTCTGGCTGGCTTCAAACCCGCAACTGCTTGTCTACCATAACAACGGCAATACAACGAAACCTGCTACAAGGTACATGGAGAGAACGGCCTAGACTCCCCACCCGATTTCTTCATCAACGAAGGCGAACCTAACACCGACTTCTACTCAGCTACCCTTTAAAGAGTGCGTAACACATCGCCCCGAAACAAATGCATGGCTTGGACAAATCCTTGCACGGATACAAGACATTGTAACGGTGATTGTGCATTTTGCCCCATGTCCTTAGAGGTTGCAGGTTCTGCAGGATGTGATGGGTCTTGAACAGGTGAAACAGCTGAGATAAAATGCACAATCACCGTTAAACGGTTAATACGCCACGATGTGCGATTGGAATGATATTTCACACACTGCCAATTTTGTGCAAGGAATCCTGTAGCTCACTTCAGATTCGGCGTTTCCACTCTTTGGGAATCCTTCAGTGAGCATGCAATTCCAGAGCAATTTGCCTCTACGGATAAGATCGGTCCGCAGTTGGAATGGCCCTGTGAAGCGGGACATCGGCCCAATCAACCTCCAACATACCTAGCGGATCGTTCCAATGGCAGACGCCCTCGAATGATACCGCACGAAACACCAACAATTTTGTGCAAACGCACGAGACACGTCACTGACTACGACCTTGGCATATCATACGTTTCGTTGCAACCCCTTCCGTGAAGCTGTCGGGCCTCCAATGGCCGTGCAATAAGTTACGGTCGGCTCCTGCAAGGACCGACAACGTCGACCTACTTGTACTCTGTCGTTTCTCACCAGGCGTGCATCAGCAGCCATCAGGTCACTCGATAACCCATCGTGCAGACATCTCTGATATGCAAACGGACTGTGCAACAGCAATGCTCCAGGAAATTGCACAGGCCACATTCGCATCAACGACCACAATTCCTGTCCGGACGGAGACCCGCCCTCCACAGGCTTACAGGCTCCACACCCAGGACGGTGCGGCCGCCTACACAAATCACAGCTATGCAGAAAAGGCTGTTTCTAGATCTAAGAATATGTAAACAGCAGCGCGTTGCCTACTAATGACTCCGTGGAAAACTTCTGGGTGCGACGAACTGGACGTACCCACTGCTCAATCCACGCCTCACATTGCAAGCATGCAGACGCCACTAGCTTGAACCCGAGCAGTATAAGCTATAGCTGTCTGTGGCAGCCTGTTTGCAGGCCTTTGGTACAACGCTTATCTGCAGAACAAGCTTAGATGCTAAGCGGACCGTTCCAACCACAGAAGCCTCCCAATTACGCCGCAGCCACCTCAAACCCTGTGCATATGCAGGACTTATGCAACTGAATAGGCTCCGGTCATACCGTAGGCTCCGTTGCAACCCTTTCCCTAAAGGAACAAGGGCTTCAATAGCCCTGCAAAACATTGCAAGCGAATACCCTAAGTACCGACCTCCTCCCATCCACGTAAGCAGCCATCCTTTTGCAATGATTCAACGCAATTGCCACCCCACTGTCTAGGGGACCATAACGACTTTCCGGATGCGCTGGAGGACCCTGTGCCACGACCCGAACGTACT